CAGACTGTGTGTTGTTTCATTGAGATTCTCACCATTAAAGGCAGCGAGTGCCTCAATGTCGTCTCCCAGCTCTCCAGTTACAGTCAGAGCCTGTTTCACCTTCAGATTGGTTTCTCTGGGGGAGACCAAGGAAAATCCAAGACAGTGTCAGACATTAGTGTCAACCTAGCATACAAACACCACAGTACAGCACACTTACCCATCTAGTTCAGCTGTTTCCACATAAACTAAATTAAGGGGCTCACTGCTAGACAGCAACAGAAGGTCTGCCTAAGAAATAAAAGCACTGAGTTTAGTTTGGAACTTACTTTTGAAATGAATTTCTTTCACTTGCTTCAAATCTTTACTATAGCCTCCCCAAACTTACTGTGACAAACTCATTATCCTCCAGTTTGACTATGTTCCCAACCTGAACATTCATCCATTTTTCATTTTTGAGTCTGTCAGGGAAGGGAACAAAGGCATACAACACAGAAATGAATCCAAAACAGCATAATTCTTCATAAAAAAGGTATTCTTTTCTTTTTCATTTGGGTTTCCAAAGACTTACTGGCCATCCATGAGGACGTCCACCTTCCGGTTATTCACTTGTCCGTCACATTTGTGTCTGTTCTGCTCAGTTGACACAAGAAAAAGATACTGTTTGCTTCCAAATCTGATATTAGTTTCTTATTTTTGGTTTTCATAATGAGCAGGATCTCTCTATTGCTAATAATAATTTCAACGTACTATATCGTCACTGGCATCTTTGACTCCTGTTATAGACAGCACCAATATCAAAGGGACAGCTGTGGTGAACCATGGCAGAGAGGAGATTTGTGGGATCAACTGTCAACACACACACACACACAAACACACACACAGTTACATATGCAGTTTTAATAAATTGATAATTGAGCTTTTAAGAATCTGAAAACTGAAAGCCTTAAAGCTCATTTCAGTGTATGGTTTACATTAAATAATGTGTTGAAAAAAATTATTTGATAAAGAAGGAAAATTTGTGTCATTTCTAATTTTAAAATCAAATTACATTTTAAAAAGATGGTGTTCAATGTGGAGTTTGAACTCTGATTGTTTTATAAGCTAGTGTTTGCATTCACATAACTATCTGCAGCATAAAATAACTATTTTTAAGCATGCAATTCATTCTGACAACATGTCTACCTGAAGGATGAGCAGGAAGAGGAAGTAGGCATTAGCGAGCCTCCTGAACTGCTCAAAAAGATTAAGTGGCAGGAAGGTGAAGATGTTGTATTTGGAGGTCTTGATGGCATTGTTCTGAAGTTAAAGAAATTGACAGAGGAAAGTTACATGACTGATGTCAGTTTAACAAAAATCACTGTGATTTAATATTTAAATGTTTGTAATGTAATGTTAAAGTTTCATTTTTGTTTTCTACAGCAGACACAGCAACAAGGTACAGTAAAAATCCTAAGATTTCTAGGATTTCACTAATAATTGCCTACAACTCAGATTTATTCAACAAAACTTTTTATTATTTAGCTACAATTTATGTACAACTGATGCTTTGTATCTCAGTCATAACATGCAAATATACACAACTTTATGTTCATTGAGTGGTAAATGCAAAGAGTTGTCTTTGTGACACTTGACATTTGTTGTTGTTGAGTAATCAAATCCAAACAAGCAAAGCATTGAGCTGAGGGTGTGTCCAAAGCTTCTCTTGTCATCTGCTGAATAGGCATGATAACATTTGTTTATATACTCACAGCATAGCGGAAAGATAGGCTGAAAGTGCTGTCATTAGCCCGCAAGCATCTCTCCTTCTCTGTGAGAGAGTAAAGCAGTCAGAGCAGGAGAGAGTTTATGCTACTGTATGTTACAGCAGTACTGAGGAAAGAAACTCAAATTTAAGTTTTGCAAACATTTCAGAGCTGAAAGCTGAAATGTGCACTGCATGACACAAAAACAAATAAAACTAAAACTGTGACAGCCATAAAGTAACTGAACAATGCAGTAAAGTAGAGCAAAGTTTACGTGCATCTAATCTCACCTTCCTTATTTCCATGTCCGCACAACTGTCCAAAGTATGACAGCACAGTTCCCATCTTTAACTCAGGTTCTCCATGTTTTATAACCTGGAAAAAAGTCCACTTTTCAGTTCTAATTAGTGAGTCATTTCAAACCAAATGGGTTTCTATATCAAAAGGTGAGGCAAAAGCGCGAGGGAACCAGTTAATTCCTGGAAGGTCATGTTTGTTTAGAACTGCGATCTAATGTTTAAAAATTAATAGAGAAAAGGTGGAACTATTTAATATGTACAGCACACCTTTTAAAATGGCGATGAGGGAAAGACAAAGCATCCCAAAAATAATAATCCTGAGCTTTCACAAAGCCAAAAATATCTCTCCAGCTGTAGGCAGACATATAACAGTCACATACTTGACAAGATTTCCACCCCTCCCCACAATTTATCTTTGCTCCAAAGCTGTAAAGATACAGAGCCCTTTTAAACTCTTGGTACTGTAGTTAAACATAAGGTGCAATAATCCCTTACTACACAGATTAAGATAAAGATGTACCCTTGACCATTTGACTTGCCCAGTAATCTACCAATAATAATATGCAGGTGTTGTAATTTTATAGAATTTTACTGGAAAAATGTTTATCAGTGGGACATAAAGAATACAAAATGTTGACAATGAAATGCATAACAGCACAAAAAGTAATTAACTACCTAACTTTTCAATTGATACCTAATTTCTTAAGAAGGAAAAACAAAATTTGCGGAAGCAACAACTCATTCTTTGGCATGTTTCAACTGATCCTTCTTCTTGCACTCACAAAAATATTAGATCAGTCTGAATGATGTCGGATTTAAAGGGTTCAGATTCTGAGATGGTTCCTGACAACAACAAAAAAATCATAACATCATAGTTTTCTGAGTTTGAAAACAAATGAAACTTAGTCACATACCTGAAACAACAATATAACTTCTCTTGTCCCCTGGGTCCTCCTCGCACACAGATAAATGTGTTTGAATAAAGAAGACAGTGAAAAAGATAAAGATTTTAACCCTCCTTTTACTTACGTCTTTGATAAAGCAAATCCCGGCCTTTGTCTATTGCCTGGAAAGCCAAGTGTCAGTTTAGTCCCAAACAGAGAAAGGAAGTTCAACTGAGGCCTCCACCAGGATAAAAGACAACAGGAACAACAGGTGAAGCATTGTAGTTGCACCTACACCAGAAGTTTCAGGTTCATACAGGAAGACCAGGGATCCCCTGCACCTAACAGCTCAGAGCTTGTGTAAACAGCACAGTGATCTTTGGACTTGGATTTTGAGTAGGTGCAGGACAGAAAAGGCAGTAAAACAACAGCAAAGGTGAAGTGCTTCAGCTAATCAGAGGGAATGTTATCATAATCATGTATGACAACCTGCAGTGGCTGCACACTGTTCAGACTGAACAGTTGTTCAGTTTTAGCTTCTTAAATTCAGTTAATTTTACCTCTTTGTGACCATAAGAAAACCCCAGTAGGCTGCTTTTAATATAAATTAAATATAATTATGTATTTAACTACTTACTACCAAGTGGTTATTACAGCTTGAAATAGGTTGCTTCATGCCTGATATGTAGATCCAGGGGACCTCAACATGACCCTCTTACTTAGTGTGGTTGTGTGTGTGCATGCTCTCTGATTGGTAACAACAAACTGGATGAATGAAAGCGCATTTGATATGAGAGGACATGCAAGCGTATTAGGTTTCTAAATGGTCAAAACACGCTGCCAGAAGTGAATCTTTACAAATGCACATGGATGTTAACAAAATGTTACATTTCTGTGGCATGTTTGTGATAAGACATTTTTAATACAGTTTTTTGTGATAAGACATACTTGTAATGATTTCTTAGATTTCTTCCCCCAGGGTGGAATGAATGTACAACATAGATCTTTATTAACTTAAAAAAGAAGAATTGGGTGCATGAGTTGAGTTTTACTTAGGGTTTTCTCTAATCCACACAGGGCCAAAGTATACATAAAGGCTCAAGTATATACATACACCCCTGATACTCCCTGGGTAAGTATCCCTTATGAACTTGTATCTTGACTAGATGTTTTTGGTAACAACAAGCTTCTGAGAAAATTCTGGGTGAATTTTTGAGCACTCTTGTCAAAATTGGTTGGCTTCCTGGCATGGACCTGACTTGTAGTCATTCTCACCAGGAATAAGGTTGGAGTTTTGGGAAGACTAGTCCAGAAACATAATGCCATTAAACTTAGTTAAACATTAAATGTTAATGTGTGTTTGGGATCATTGTCCTGTTGGAACACCCAATTGTGTCCAAGTTTGTCACGCTGTCTTCTGAAAGAAACCTTTGGTGGTGACACATTTGAATAACCTGTATTTACAAATGTTTGAAGTGATAATCTTGCATTCTGCACTTCTTTAGAAAGACCTTGCCAACTTGTAAATCTACAGTTGTCATTCTGAGTTCCAATCAATCCACTGAGCAATGCCGAACAAATCCTTTTTATGCTAGCAAAGTGAAACTATCGTTTGTAGTCGAATATGACCAATAATGAGTCAATAGGTAAACAGGCTGGACTTTGTGATGATGATGATGATGATGATGGTGATGATGATGATGATGATGATGCAGGAGCAACACCAACACAGGGCTATCAGAGAAGGCATGCTGCACAATCTACCATGGAAATCAATCATTAAAAGCACCAAATTACTATGACATTCATGCCCATGATGAGTGCACGAAAACCACCGACCACAGCTGTACAACCCAAAGCCAAAACTATATTAAGAGATGGGTGTTATTTCTCTGAGTTCAGCATCAGTTCAAGAAAAAGGGCCATCATCTTTATTTATTTATATCTTGCAATCCTATCGTCAAACAATAAAAGTGAATGCAACTGTGTTTGTGGTAATGAAAATAAAGAATTTGCACTCTTATAACCCACTGGGTGAAATGAAAAAGCTACCATATTGTAGTGGGAGAAAGAGCAGGCAAGAAGATTTATAAATACTTATTAAATGTTTTATACAAAATTCATTATTTGGAATGTTTACATGGCAACAACAGTTTACAATAATGACAAAGATTACACAAATAATGAAGTACAGTGTTTTACATACTGTACTTGATAACTACAGCAGTGATTTAGTGATAGCATAGGGGTTTAAAAATTTTGAAAACACAAAAAAAGTGATCAAAAATAAACAGTAGCAACTTGGCACAAGGAACATGTAGCTTAGAGAATGGCTGTGAAACATTGACCCTCTTAAACTAATAACGTTAATTATTCACAGGGGTTAATACACTGTAACAAAGAGGAGCATTGAGTTGTGGTTGTGACCAGTTTCACAATGTGCACGCACTGAGGGTTTTATAATAGAGCAATAATCATTTTTCATTAAGTCTAACATTCACATTTTCCATTACATCACAACACTGACGCACATCACTTCAGTCCACACAACTGAAAAAACCCCCCAAAAAAACCCATCGTAAACTAATAAGGAGGACCAAGGAAAGCTTTTATAACATCAGAAAGAATAAAGTAACACTAACTATAACACATTAAAAAGAAAACCTAACCCAGATAAATATACCCAATAAAATGATACGGAAAATCACTTGGAAAACTGGACAATGAACATTTTTATGGGCAAAGAAGTAGCTAGTCATCATTGCTGTAAGCCAAAGGAAACACAAGGGCTTTAAAAAAAAAGCAATTAAAAAAATAAAACAAAACAAAGCAAAAAAAGATTACTTTTCTTCATTTATTATCTTTTCATCAAAGTAAGGCCACTCCAAAGAGTAGAAGAAAACAGGACAGAATTATATATGTAAACTTTAAATATTTGTCCAGATATGCAGATTTTATTTTTTGGAAGAAAGTTCAACATCTACTATTTCTAAATGAATAATTCAACAAGACAATTATCTCTTAAATCAAGGACACACATGGTTACCTTGGTTATTAATTGCATGACAAGCACTTGCTTGTCACTTTTAGTTTGAGGGTGTGTATTTCAACTTGTTATGAAGCTGCAATTCAGGCCCAATTTAGGCTACATCAGCAGCTTAGACCAACCACTGTGCAAATCCTTTGACACTGTCGTGGTAAATACGTCCATTTTTGGTGGTAAACAATAATTCCATCACAAGTTTTGAAACACAAAAATAAATAAGTATAAAAAAATAAATAAAATGGTTACACCATCATGGTTATACTAGGCTACATGAGCTAAATAAAGATGGCTCAAATAGAACTCTTGTTAAACTTCCACAGTGAATTTTCTTGAGGATTTTAGTTAAACCTTATTGTTACTGATTTTTATTCCCTCAGGTTTTATATCTAGCTATTCCTTTCCCCGGGGAAATAGGGCTGGAAACTTCACATGGCAAGGCACACATTAAACCAATTAATCCTTCAAATTGATCTGTGAAATTAGCAAAATTAAGGTTTGTTACTTTAAGTACCTTCATTTCACAAAGTATGTCAGTACTTGACCAGGATTGTGTCCTAGCTAGTGCTCGTTCATTCATCAAACAAAACACTCCTTTATAAGATAAAACATAGTATTTTCACATTTACCCAAACCATCACCCAAGGAGATAGAGAATATGGTTTTTAAAAGCCTACTTCACACATTCACAGTTTGCAGAGTGTAAGGCATAAAACACTTGGCCACAGTTTGGGGTGAGGTGGGGTTATTGCACAATCTCTGCACCAGGGAAGTGCAGAGATTTGTTTGGCCCTTCAACAGGACCTGGCATCATCTGTTCCCTTGAGGCTATGACATGCTCACCGTGCCACTCCGGCTGATGACAAAGGAGCTACAAATAAGGTTAAATAGCTGAGTAAGTGGTCACTAACCTGTGAAACAGATGTTGAGTGTGAAGCTTGAGTGAGCCAGCATTTATGTGGCTGTTTGCTGAAAAGCAAATAATATGGATGTTTGAGGAACACTGCAAAGTGACTGTTGGTCAAAAAAAAAAAAAAAAAAAAAAAAAACAAGGTGAGAACATAGCAGTGATGTAAGAGAAATGGCAACCCACTACCAAACAGTCAACAGTAGCTAAGACACATCACAGGTCCAAGAAAGAGTCCACATGTTCATCTACAATAAAAATCGGAGAGGATTTTCCATCCTTTTGTTTTCCGTCTTGTTCTCCAGATATCCTCATCTGCCCTCCTCTGCTGATCGAGTTTCTGACTTCAACCTCACAAATTCCTTGGCCACATCATCATTGGACCTTTGAGACAGGATTCGCAAGGCAGTGAGGCCTGTGTCGTCCATGTATATACGCTGTCCAAGGGGGCACCAGCAGGCGCAGTTGCCTTTCTCCATGATGTCTCTTAATTGCAGCACGACCAAACCCACCACCCGGTCGGCACGACCAAAACAGTAATCTTTGACGCATGCTTGCAACTCATAGCACTCAAAGCCATCTTGGTTACCCAGAACACTGTGAAGAGAGAACAGAGCGTTACATGCTTTGAGTTCTCCAACAGCTTAATGGTGTATCTGTCAGCTTAAAGCTGCAAAAGACTTTCAGGTAGTGTCTCAACATCAATGACCCACTGACATGATTTTATATTTACTTTTCTAGTGGAAATCAATCAAAATATTGTTGTGCAAATCCCCGAATGGACATATACATTTTACATATAGATTTGAATTACATATGAGCTGCAGCCAAAATTAGTCTTTCCAAGTTTTTCTGTTTTGCTTATTTTTTCATAAACTGCAAAATCTGGAGGAAAAAACCCCCAAATGGACTTACAAATGGAAGGTTTCATTGAACTTGGGAGACCAGCTGTTGTTCTTGGACTTGGTCTGGAACTTCCGTTTCTTGTCACTGAGGTGAGGACCGATCATGGTGATCTCCACAAAGGGTCTGAACATGCCAGACGTCTGCCATTTTAAGTCACTGGCCCCCACAACTGTAGTAATAAATGCGCAACATGATAATGTTGTCAGCTGAAGAGCAAATGTTGCTTAAAATGCCACATTTTTTACATCACTTTAAAAAAAAAAAAAAAAAAACTCAGACTGACCTTTAACAGTAACTTTCCTCTCTCCACTCTTTGGATGAGTATAAAGCTCAATGTGGATACACACCTCTCCAATTGGTTTGTCCACACCTGATCCTAATTTTCATGAAAACACACACACGTTAAGTAAGTTTACATGTGACCACATGTAGGCAAAATACAGAAAAGAAACGAAAACCAAGTAATAACGCAGGGTCAGGATGGAAGGGAAATGCAGATGCAGAGGATGGGTAAGGAATGACCTACCAACAGAATGACAAAACCAAATTGTGCAAAAGGAGACTGTGTGGGGAAGAAAGGGAGGTTGGCAGTTGATTTCAATGAAACCTACCCCTGCTGGGTTGTATTTTTTCATTGGGAGTTAACCTAATACCCTTTCCATTGTGCACTGGCACAGAGGCAGCACAGGAGATAAAGAGAAGACAGCAATGATACATCAACAAGTTCCAGCATCAACAACACATTAAAAAAAAGAAAAGAAAAAAAATGGAGCAATTGGTGAAAGGTCTTTCTAATCATGAGCACATAGCACCCTCTGCTGGTTTATCTTTGGTAAGGCTTTCCTTCTGTACCTTTTTACTATTAGATACTTTTATCAGTTACCTTGTGCTTGTTGTGTGGTCACAAACGTCTTGATGAGTGTGTCTGTTGTCTGAGTATAGAGGGACAGAGCGTGGCGGAGTGAGGACAGCTCAGGACTCTTCTCTAGGAAGGCCTTCTTCAGCCCATTCCCTCCTGCATGGAAATATTGCTGCAAAGAGACACAGTGTGAGTTAGGTCATAAATATTTAGATGCACAGCTGCAAGCATCCAATATTTTGTTTCATAATATTCTGACATCTTTTGCAGCAAAATAAAAAGTTTAGTAATGAATTAATGAATAAATAGCAGATATAAATAGCAGATGAAGCTAATCTGAGACAGCATCCTAATGAAACCAAAACCCAGAGTACAAACTGACCTTAATTGTGTCCAGTGCCACATCCATGACAGCACACTGCCTGGGGGACAGGCTTTTAGCCTCCCCTGCCATGTGATCCTACACAGCCAAATGGTGAGCAAAAAGGTGAAATAAAAATAGTTACACTCTTAGTAAATGGTAAAATGGTAAATGGCCTGTATTTATATAGCGCTTTACATATCCAGTCATCCACCCATTCACACACACATTCACACACTAGTAATGGCAAGCTACATTGTAGCCACAGCCACCCTGGGGCGCGCTGACAGAGGCGAGGCTGCCGGACACTGGCGCCACCGGGCCCTCTGACCACCACCAGTAGGCAACGGGTGAAGTATCTTGCCCAAGGACACAACAACCGAGACTGTCCAAGCCGGGGCTCGAACCGGCAACCTTCCAATTACAAGGCGAACTCCCAACTCTTGAGCCACAATCGCCCCAGTAAGCACATTTGTGGACACTTCTTTAAATTAGGGTAACACCGAAGCCCATTTGAGGACACTTATTGTTCAGATATGTGGAGGCAATATGATACCTTGAGTTTGGAGAGCTGACCCAGTTCTTTTGCAGCTGAGAGAATCTGTGCTCCCTGGAATATAATTTAAAAAAAAAGAAGAAAAAAAAAAAAAAAGAGTTATTTATGTATGAAAAAAGTTAATAATTTTGTAATATTAGAAATAGGCAAAGTCATTGCTGACTCACAAAGGTATCATTGCCCTGTGGCAGGACAATAGTCTTCTCCAGGCTGGTCATTACAATCCTCCATAGCTCCTTGAGCACACGCTTCAATACAGTCTTCTCACACACAGTAGCAAACAGTGTCAGTCTGCAAGAACCCACACATAGACGTTGTAAACATACTCTCACAAGTGCTTGTATTATTCCTTTTAAACATATAAACAATACTGAGAAGTCATTCATGAATGGAAAAAAATATGTCTTTTAGCAAAAATGCACAATTAACAGTTTTGCAGTTGCAAAAACATCTTTTTTGCTCTGAAAAAACATTTTACCAAATTAATTAATCACCAAATTATCTCAGCAAAAAAAAAATAAAAAAATTAGACTACAGGACAATTCAATGAATAAACAGAAAACACCGTAGTTTGGCTAAAACAACTACTCACTTTCCATCCAGGAAGTCCATGAGTGGCCGTAGCATGTTGTCAGAGTCAGCCTCCACCTGGTTTTTGTTGTTGGCATTGACTGGTCCTTTGATCTGGTACAGCAAAGATGCCATTTGTCGCATACACTCGTTGATGCGAGTCTGGAAACTGGAATTAAAATAAATAAATAAATACATTATCAATCAGCACAAATGTGTGTTAGCTTTCACAGTTGTATACACACCAGTACAATGTACATACCTGTTCCCAAAGGTTCTACTTAGATCATCCAGCACATTGTTCAGCCTCACCTGCAGGTCATTCAGCAAGTCACAAGCCTCTGTGTCCATCTAAAGACAAGCAAAGACATCATGCCCAGGAGGGATAATGAATCATTTTGACTGAGGCTTTTGTGTTGCGCATATGGTATAAGAAGAGCTCTGAAATATTTTGGCAGAAAAAAGTTTTCGAAACTTTGAAAATAAAGCATATTCAACTGAATGTAGAATGTAGGTGCCAGGTTTTCCAGTGAATGGAATTCCTGGAACCATCAACCAGCAGTTCATATAAGAGTTTCAATCTGACATTTGCAACTTTGGGCCAAAATAGCACGAATTACCTTTGAACCTCTAAAAGCTGCACTTCACAGTAAAAGCCAAGAAGCAGTGAATGGCAGCACGATTTTAAGATTTTCATGGAAACCTGAATAGCTTGTGGGTGTTATGCAGCTTTTTTCAAGTTGTAAAATGTCTGTATTCCATCCTCCTGCAGCACAGTAATTTCAATATCAGACACCCTTGAAAAAGAAATTACACACGCATACATCAGAGCAATCACACTTTTTTCACAGCAGTCTTCAACTTTCCAGAGGTGGAACATTTACACCCCCCCAAAAAAAAAATGTAGTAGATGTATTGCAAGCAATAAGACTTACAAGGACAGGCTGAAGGGAAAAAGTAGGGGAAAAAATTCTTGAATTACTGTAACTCAAGTATATCTGACTCAGGTATAACTGAGGCATCATCTAAATTAGCACAGCCTGGAGGGGAGCTAAGCCATATGGATGAAGCCATGGTGTGGCTCATTAAGTCAATGATTCAATGGCCTTTTGATTCATGGCTTGTCAGGGTTAGGTAGCACCATTAGTGAGAATAAACAGAGGGTTGTGCTAAGCACCGTGATGAGAGGCTGCAGGGAAGGAAAGGCGCTAGGAATGAATTGATGCTGCATATGCTGCATTTTTTTTCCAGCTTTTGGCGTGTATGGAAATATTCACAATGGATGTGTCTGTGTACCTACACTCACCTTTTTGTCTTCAAATGCATTTTCAGTCTACATTGGCACAGAAAGGTGAAGATAACCACGGTTAATAACGGAATAATTTATAATACCTGGGAAACTACAAGAGGTTGATTCCACAAGGTGTTGTGGCAAAAAAAGGATTGCCTACCTTTTCTACTGGTGCATCCATCTTTGTGTGATGGGAATGTTTGTTTGTTTTTTATTAGAGATAAACAAAAGTTTAAAAAAAATGGTCAAAAAACTTTTTTCCCCCCCCCTTTTTCAACCAGGCAAATAATATGTATAAAAATTTAAATTCAACTATAAATACTGAAAGTGAAAAAGTGTGTGATATTGATACCCACCTTCTCCATGTCAGACTATTGCATTAAAAAAGAGGAAATTGCAAAGAAAAAACAAGAATTAAAGGAAAGCAATAGCAGAAGACTCCGAAATGCTTTAACAGGGAATGAGAGCAGGTTTGCAGAGAACCAGGGAAAATGCCACTGGAAGATTCCCACCCCAACTGATGACACAAACTCAATCAACTCCACTATGATCACCACAAGGAACTGTTGTTGCAGTAGGAGTGATTATGACTGCCGTTGCTGGGAGTAGGCACAGTACAATGGGGGAATAGGAGCACAAGAATGACTTGAAAGTGAATGAAGTTAAAACCATTCTGGACCGCAACAAACCTCAGCCTCTATTTTCTCCCTTATTTTCTCTTCCTCTTCCTCACTCTCCTCAAACTATGAGTGGTGGTTAAAAGACAACACACAAAATATGTAAGGCTCATCATTACCCGCCACACCATATTAAAAAAAGAAAAAAGAAAAAAAGACTTTTCTTCCAAGTGAGTATATGCAGGCATGTAAACATGTATACATATACATTGGACTTGCCTCCCATTCTAATGTAGAGTTGAGCTAGAAAAAGAGAAAACAAAAGACATGACTTTGGCTTTACTCTGTGCAAAGAAATAGATTTTCCATAATTACAGAAGTTCACTTCAATGAGTGAAGAGCTGAACTGGACTGTAAAAAAGAGCGAGCGCTTTATTAGCCAACTAGCAAGAGAGTAATGGGTAAAATAAGCTAAAAAAATATTCATATTAAGACTTTGCTAGTCAAAGTTTCCTAGTCTGCAAAAGAAATGTCTTTATTTTGATACCAACTTTGTGGTAATTTAAGTAAATGGGGCAGTAGCAACACCACATTTTGCTGCATTTAGTTTATCAGACAGTTAAGCTCAGTAGCTATCCATTGTGGCTTTCTTTCTATTGAATTTGTGGTAATTTGTTGTCGATAAGGTATTGCTAAATGGAATATTTATGCTAAATTAATATTTTTTTTTATTAACTGTTAATTTGTTATCACTATTATATTGGTTTTACAGTAAAATATCACATATTATTTATGTAATTGCATTAAGAGACATGAAGCAAAATACAAATACCTGTTATTTCTAGTCAATATTGTAAATAATCATAATAATTCACAATACAGGTTACCTGCCTATTATTACTACCACATGGGTTAAAGTAGGTGATAAAAAGGTGGTGGTAAATATGATTAGATTAGATAGATTGGATTAGATGAAACTGTATTTATCCCTTGGGTGGGTTCCTCCGGAAAATTCTGTTTCCAGTAGCACAGCACTGACAGAAGTTGCAGAATGTGAGCAGAAATATACCATATATACACACATGTATATATATATCAATATAACAAATATAGCAAATCCGTCAGTGACCCATCACAGTCAAGGAATAAGATTTTGTAATAATATTATGCAAACTATTTTCCTTTTACTCAATATTCAGTGATGTAATTAATGGAAGTGCCAGTCTGAGACACCCGCACACACAGAGCATTCACTATGTTTCAGTTAATGCCTTTCATCTATGATTATGTTGAGGAATCACCCTAAAAATAAACACGACAATCAAACTACAAAAACAAACGCACCAATGAAGGTCAAGAACTGTAATCTATGCGCAACATGCGCAGGCAAGTAGATGTGCACACATTAACAGCTACAGGCTAACACGTCATTAGACGCAAAGTTCACCAAAGCAGCTTGGAAGGAGACCACAATTAAAACGTTTGTAAAAGCAAACACAATAACACACTCAAATGACCTTAACCAAGCTGAATAGACTTACTTCAAAGAAGCTAACATAGGCTAAAAGTAACTAGAACCTTGTTATTTGTATCTTCTTTTTTTTTTTTTACAATGTTTAACATCTTATATTTTAAAAAGATTTTATAACAAAGAGAAGATGTTTCTGTTTGTATATGCTCAGTGATAGTTCTTAGAAAAAACAAATGGAATCAACAGGTTACACTTATATTAAAAAAAGGAATCACCCCCAAAATTGCAACCGATCTACAAGCTAAGGAAGCTAAATCAACATTCACTGTGACACACAGGGGCTTTGAGAGGGTACTTCAGCTACTCTGCATGATAAAGGAGGATTGTGGACTACATAAGATTATGACACTACTGGTTTAAAGTAAATATTGCACAATGTAAACTACAGGCTAACAAGACTGAACTATGATATATTATAATAAATTTTATTATTGATTAGTTAAAGTCTAACTGCTGCAATCCACAATACCCACCGGAGCCTTTGCTTCATCCTCAATTGCAACCTGCTACTCAAGCCACAGCATAAAGGAAATAATCAATACGGTGCTCCACAGCACACCATGAAAATGATTTAATTATATTAGAAAGATGTACATTTATATGGATAAATATCCACCCTGACCAGACTATATTGGAACCGTACCTCTTCTTCTTCTTCCTCCTCTTCTATGATTTCATTTTGCTTCAATTGTAAAGTGAAAACATTTGGTTGAAATATAGGCTACAGCATCCCACAGCTATCATCCTACGATCACTCCAACAGTATAAGTTAAATAAAAATTTTTTTAAAAGGGTTCCATATAGCTATGATACTGCATGCAGAAATGTTGTAGGGAATGAAGGCAGTGGGGAGGTAACAGCTAGGAGAAAAGCTATTGATTTTCAATGCTCTAGCTACAATATTGATATGGAGGACATGACTAAATTAAGTCTCTGCTTCAATACTCTAGCATAGAAGCATAGGGCTAACCACTGTAACCACTGATCTAGGGCTACACTTTCACTGACAGCTTCACATCAGGCATTAGGCATACAGATCTGAATATAAGATAATATTCAAAGCGTAAGCAAATGCTACTATGTCACATCTTAACACATCTTAATCCATTAACATTTGCCATTTACTTTAAATTAGCTAAACTACCACTACTGTACGTACCAATGCTTCTTGTATTGCAATCTGACACATGAAAGACACAAATGCAACTGTTGTACAGCAAATTTAAAATGTAATTTCATGAATGACTGATGTTTTTCTTTTTTTCTACACGAGTGACGCTACCAATTTATTAACAAAACCGGATACCATCATGCATCATGTCTTCATATCCATCATATTTAGACTCACCTGTTTGGCACCCATTGACTCAAACATCTTTTCCAGCTGGATTCTTAACTGCTGAACATTATTCATTAATACACAGGGCTACAAGAAGACAGAGAGAGACGTTAAGAGTGATTTTGTGATCTTTTTTTATGTATCATGTCCAATGTAATAAATGTTTTTTCAGCACAATTGGCAGAATTGGCTGAAAAAAAAAAAAAAAAAAAAACTTACAATCTTCTCTTTGTCAATATAAGATGGAAAATTCTTGGTCAGCATGGCACTGTACTGCAGAAGAACTTTGGCAATTGTCTGTAAAGACAGGTAGAAATAAAGGCATTTAAACGGCATTTACGGAAAAAAAAAGCTATTTAAAATCAAACTTCTCTCTTATCTCTTCAAAGGGGGATAATATTGTACTTCGGGGGTTTCGCTAATCAACATAAATATTCCAAAATGTGCTTTAATGTATTCTGTAGCAAGGAGACAAACAAATTCTAAAGTAGGACATTTTTCTCAGCAGACTTTTCCACAGGAGGGAACTGTTATGCCTAGTTCAACAATTCTTTTTAATCCAGCAATATAAAAATTCTCTTTTGCAAAAAGTCAAAATGTCCCACAAGACATTGCTATAGTGATTTAATAGTTTTTTCCCTCATATTTCGTGGTCATTTTTCAGAAACATTGGAAGTTTAAAGCAAATCTTTATTAATTCTAGAATTGTTAAACACAAATGCACACCATATTTCATGCAGCTCGATCAAGCTGGTTTGACTTTAAATGTCATCATCAGGTGGAGTACATTACCTTGGAAAAGCGGCGACTATACTGAGCCATGACCCTAGGATCAGGACATTCCAATTTCTTGATAATCTCAAAGCTCTGGTTGAGCTGGGTGAAGATGTCCACCACAGAGCAGGAGAACAGAGCATGCTCAGATGTCTGCTGGAACTGAGATGAGTACACAAATGACACTTACTTCTTATCAACACTCGTATAGTAGATAAAACAACATCTACAAGCAGAATGTTAAAGAACATCAACAAGATTTTAAAGCAGCTTTTTAATGTCCCCATGCTGATAGCATGGCTGTATCTGTAAACACAAAGATAACTTTTTTCAGTTCAGCACTATTTTAAATTAGAACCTCAAAGGTATCGTAGAGATATCATATCAAAGGGTAAGTTCTAGTTTTCTTACTCCATCTTTTTTGTCTCTTTCCAGAGCTCCATTCATAAATTCCATAGATACTTCCTCATTTTCGTCCAACCACTGTAGCACAAACTGCACAAACCATCTAAAAGTGAGAAATAAAGATTAGCAAATATGTTTGTTTTTTTTAAAACACAGTTCCTTTTATTTTTGTTTAGATGGATTATCAAAGTCAAAAAAGGCAATAACATTTGCCTTTTCTTGTGCCTGTCACTGAAAAGGTCAAATGCACTTACGATGGGTAGTCGGGTACAACACCCTTAAAGACTGGCAGCTCCTTGACATATTCATTGTAGAGCCACTTGACCTTGAAGTGCAGGTTCATGTAGTCTGTGCTCTTACACAGCCTGTGCTTCTCATGCTCTGCCGGTTTAAAAACATAAGGAGCCATATGAACTTAGGGATGTGAAGATTAAAGTCAACGTCCCCATTTTAGTAAAAGCTAATATAAGACAGCCAAAAGGTAAGGTGAAGCAATCATATGGTGCATATGGACTTCTGAGTATTGTAACAAAACCTCAAAGAACCCCAATGCATACAAC